TGTAGACTTTTTCTTCACAAAAAAATACGAAACACATCATATCATTTTATTGTTTAAATAGCATGTTTTCCGTAGCACGTTTTCCTCGTGTTTCATCAATATACTGCTGATTTTACTACTTGTTTTCGTGCTTGATATTCTGACATAAGTGTCTGTAAATATTCGCAGCCTCGGGGGGCTCGGGCGCAGCTACGCCCCCACGCGAAGACGCACGATGCTGCGGACAGTGTACACCGGCCGGACGGGTGGGCGTGCTCCCGCTGCCGGTGGCCCGACCGGGCGGGACCCCGCGGGGGGCACGGGAGGGCGCGGGCCCCTGCCAGACCCTGCCGGCTCCTCACTAGTAGGACCGGGCCGCTCGTGTGATTATATTATTATTGCACCTACCTGTCGGGAAAAAAATATTCGTAAATTTTGAGAAGCGAAAAGTACCATGAAAAATTCCATATAATTTACAATATGAAATCGTAGCTTCACAGCCATTGGAACTTCTTGTAAATTGTAAATTTACAATATTATTTATTAGGTATATTACGGTTTCACTTGGAATTTTTCAACAAGCAAAAGTGGTCTGTCGCTTATAAATTATGCCATAGCTTAAAATTTCAAATTTCAAAAAACTAGCGGTGACTGCCGGCTCTGCCCAAACTTACACAGATAATGACACACTCCGGTCGCCCGCTCTGCGCTGTAGACAGCAAGATGGGGAGGAGGGGGGGGGGGCTTTTCCTACTGGTAGAGACAGTCTTTAGGGGACTGTCTAAAAAGCAACATATTTTTGTAACTGAGCAGATATAATATTCACAGTGGCCCACCGTGTCGTCAGCGGGCCGCCCGTAGCCGCGCCAAAAGGAGCTGCCGCCAGGACCACCCGCGGCCCGCGGGACCCCGTGCCAGTGGCGAACATGACTGTTAGAGAGAGACGCCAGCGTGTGGGAGGGCGAGGGTGACAACTGTTCGTCTAGTCGTCAGTCTCCCTCGCAACTCGTAATCGGCGTTGAGGTTTCTCTCTCTCTCC